ATAGATCTTATTTAGTTTAAAATGAAACCACACCCAAAATGAAATTACACCCAAACTCACGAGAGAAATAAATGTAGGCCATACAAACATTTCTCCCGGCCCGGGAATCGAACCTGGGACCTCTGCGTGGCAGTCCGGCATGGTAACCGTTCGGCCACGGAGGCAGTTGTCAAAATCAAATAAAGATTCACAAAGAATTTCTTTTTTCGGCGAGTGCTGGTCCGCGGATTGGGTTTCGAAATAATCCAACACCGCCTCGTCCATGTCAGGATCATGAACACTTGGGCGACCTTCTGGCCTATCACCCCCAAAAGCAGGTCATCGAAGGAAATTGACAGCGTTCAGCTTCTGGTCTACCATCGATAAATCTCTCACGGTAGAGGTCGTGGACTTGGTCTAAGCATACGTCTATTGCTCCGACGCACAACATTATTTCATAAAATTTTGAATTACTTAGAAATGATTATTACTATTATTATTCCTGAATTCCACTACTATGATTATTCCGAAATTATTGAATACAAGATGTGGAAGAACAACACGGGATACCAATGACAGAATGACCGACAGCGTCAATATCCATTTCTTTTTATTAATCAAAAACAACACTGAAGGTTTGAATCTTATTATATAAAAATGTTTCTAATTTTAGAATACTATTTTTAATTAAAAATAAATTGAACATTAAATTTTCCCGCCATTTTCGACTAACTTTTAAGTGGTTGTATGAGATTAGTGATGCTAGAGCACGATGTTAATACCAATATCGACGAATTTTCGTATTTTTATTCATTTTTCATTAAAAAATGAAATTAATATAATTAGTCATAATTTTGAACAAAAATCAATGCCAATTTACTGTTTGATAGTAACTCTACGACCTTGAATTTCCACTGCACCTTTCGGTTACACCTGTATAGGTGGTTAACTTTGGACCTTTTTTTCGTGGTTTTTATATTAGACCTGTCATGTCATCTATTTGTTTGTCGGTCAATGGACTTAGTTGTTAATTAAAATTCAGCACAGTTTTTTTACTTTAGCTATAATGACGTTTATTTGAGGCAAATAATAAGATAGTGAAGTGGGCTTCTAATAATACTAGTCTAATGTCCAAAGCCTGAGGGATGTTGAACATTTCAAAGACTTTATTCTTATGATTTTGTATTTTATTATTTTGTTTCTATCTGAGATCAGTCCTTGAGCCATTCATAGGTCCGTGTTACAGTTTTAATGTGGTTTGATTTAAAGAGTCCTGTGACTTTTTTCTTCCTCTTTTCATAATTAATTTGTACTTTAAACATTGTACGCCCGTAGTGCGCAGATTGTAAGAACTGTAATTATGTTCATAAGACCTTAATATTCACCACATTCACACAATAAATGAATTCTATTCTATTCTATCAGTCATATTGAAATGACTCAAGCCATTCATACACTCATAGTCGACACTTTTATGTAGAGTGACAGTCATTACTTGTATTTTTGCTATGTCAGTATAATATCCCGTATGATAGATCAGGATCATATCGACTCATCCGTAGAACAAAGATCTATGTGCAAGACTAATTGTTCTCAGGACAGTACATTTCGTTCGTTCTTCTTCGCTGTGGATGTCAGGTCGACCGTTGTTCGATTTTATATTTCTGAAACGAAATAAGATATACAAATTCTTAAAACACCTTTACATAGGCCTTAATTTGAATAACGAAATTATTCTCCTAACGTACTTATTCTCTTTTCGCTATATAATCACAACGGACTCTGTTCTTCGGATGAGTCGATACAGTAATTTAACAAGCCTGAATTGAATCTTTTTGGTACGTGTGTAAAATGAGTCAAAGTTAAAAGTCAAATTATCTTTATTTCATAGGAAAGAAAATTACACGTGAAATCGTCGTACTGATTAAATTCTACTGCTCATTCGTAAAGCAGATTCCCATAAAAAGAATGAGAAAGATAAAGAAAAGATAAACCCCTAGTCTCTTTGGAAATATACATTTAAATACATTTATCATCATAATATTTAACTTAAACATCTTGGATCGAGACTAAACGGATCACTACCACGGATTTTCGTCGTCCACACACGCAGAAGCTGTATAAAGCTTTAATATAAAAGTTTTGATTCACTATAGTTTTAAACCTCGTAACGGCAAATTACATAATATAAGCATACATATAAGCGTCTATTATTTAATGAGTAATGCAACAAAAGTGCAATGTATCTGTCCAGCCATGAGCATGAGAGGCCTCGCGAGCGCGAGGCGTCACCTGTGGCGTCGTCGAGCGGCGCAGTGCAGGAGAGTCTCTCCATCGAGGAAACCAACCGCCTACGCGCTAAGCTGGGCCTCAAGCCGCTTGAGGTCACTGAGAAGCCTCCGGAGGGTAACTGTCGTGCTTTTTGAAATTTCATTCCTTTAAAACTAGGCCTGAAATTTAAGGATATAGTACTTACATATTGACATGTGGGTATCTTTTTTTCAAATATTGTTCATTTTACTAATTGTAATATTTTAATATTCAAATCGATAATATAATTAATGTAACTTATGAACAACTTGGAATGATTCTTCGCGTACTAGACCTTTCAGTAAAATATTTAGGTACGTATAAAATCTTACGTTAAATACTCGTTTGTACAATCGCTTTAGACTACCGACTACGAACCAGACACTTCTTTGTTGACTATGAGTACTATGGACTCTCTAATTAAAAACTTTAATATTTCTCGAATGTTCTACCGTACCAAAAATACATTTTATTGTTACCTATGTTCTACAAATTATGCCAAAAACACATTTATTCGGCACTCGTGTATGTTATACTCGTATAATAACAAATTGAAGACATCGTCATTGTTTCGATATCATTGATGAGTTACAAGCTAAAAGTGGAGGTTTGACAGAGGACCCCGTGAATACATTAGAACAATTGAAATCTCTTGACAGCTGGTTTAATTACTGTCTTCATTATCATTCTTTGTTTATGTCTTTTGAGAGAACCCAATCGAGATGCAACTGCATGTGCAGATGACGGCAAGCTCAAAGACGACTTGGGCGAGTTCTACCACAAGCCGGCGGCTAACCTGGCGGCGCAGCGGCGCGGCGAGAAGCTGCGCGAGCGCCTCGACGAGCGCCGCGAGAAACGCTCCATCGAGCACAAGTCAGTCGACATCACAGTACACTAAAGCTACATATTTTTTGTGTTCCTGTCCCTCGGAATAAATCATATTTATTATTTTGCAATATTCGCAAGTACGCAATTGATCGAACATAATTGCAACAATTGCATGTTTTGTTAAAAAAAACTAAATAATGTCATGTTCAGTTATAATTGAACTTAGTTAACACGTCCAGATCGAGGATCGCAACTATCGTTCAGAGTTTCCAAGAAGTAGTGTACAAAGCCGGTTGCCAGAATTGGCCGTTTACTCGTGTCTATTGATTTATACACTTCAATAGCTTAGAGTTACACCACACACACATACAAAGATTACTCTATAAAAGACCGGTGCCGTGCGGGCTCGCGAAAGGTATGTAAGTAATGCGCCAATGTGCAGGCTGCAGACGACGTTGCTGGCGGAGGGGTCGGACGACGAGGACGCCGACGCGTGGGTGAAGAAGTCCCGCGAAATGGAGAAGCAGAAGCGAGACGCCGCCAAGCGGGTACGTCGCGCCCGTCCGACCACTCGGACCGGCCGCGGAGGCGTCGCCCGCGAGTTGAGACCGCCGCGTTTGTGCAGGCGGCCATGCTGGACGAGATGGACGCCGTGTTCGGCGTGTCGGCGCTGCTGGCCGAGGAGCAGCGCCAGGCGCGCGCGGGGGCCTACGAGCCGGGCGCGCTGCGCGGCCTGCGCGTGGCCCACGACCTGGACGCGGTGAGGCCCGCCCGCCCCCAAAGCCACCTTTGGGCCCCCCGACCGCCCCTCACCGCGCCTTTGCCCGCCAGATCGGCGACGAGCGCGAGACGGTGCTGACGCTGGCCGACGAGCACGTGCTGGCCGACGACGCCGAGGACGTGCTGGTCAACGTCAACTTGCTGGACGACGAGCGCTACAAGAAGGTACCGAGTGCGGTTTTCTTAGCCGTGACGTGAACTCGCGTTTCGATATGCACTTTCTTCGGCAGAGGCGAGTTGAGCTTGCGCGAGCGCTGGTTATCATGTTGACACCGTGGATATAGAAAAAAAGGGGAGATATGGTGTGGGGGCGTGGTTCGCGTCAGGTGACACGCCACAAACATCGCCACAGTGACATGGCTATCGTTGTACATACAAGATCTCTCGTAAAACGTGAAAATGCCAAGTTGTAGCGATACACCTTGTAAAAATTGGAGTGAAAACAAAAATTTTAAAACCAGTGAGATAACATTCCACCGGCTATTTGCATTTTTAGTTACTATTTCTATTATTATTCAATGTTTTCTTTTTGTCTCCAAAGAAATTTCTAGACTCAAATATAGTGATGTTCATTTACGAAGACTGATGTTTATCGACAATAAATTTTTACTGAAATGTTTGAATTACTTACTACGATTTTTGTAATTACAGTCCCTAAAATATCGAAGCGAGAAGCATTCACGTTAAATTGATTTCTTTTATTTTATTATTATTATTATTATTATTACTAAACATTTTATTTCGAGTAACTTTAACACAACTCATATATCGGACAACTTTCAATTTCATGTCAATTTGGATGTTGCTGTGGCTTAAAGATAAATTTATGTGTTTTAGATTTTTAAGATATTTAAAGTCCATTTTACTCGTAGATTAATAGAGTATTTTTAATTTTTAAGTTTTTCCAATGAGTTCAAAATAAAAGAAGGTTGGATTGAAGCTGCAGGAAAACGAAAGATTGGTTTTCTTATTACTATTTCTGACTTTGTTTCAATTTCCACTTCCATTTCACTGGTTTTAAAATTTTTGTTTTCACTCCAATTTGTACAAGGTGTATTGCTACAACTTGGCATTTTCACATTTTACGAGAGATCTACAACGATCGCCATGTCGCTGAGGCGACGCGAACCACGCCCTCATACCATATCTCCCCTTTTTTTCTATATCTATGGTAGGACCACATCCCTCGTTGAGTAGCGTCAGTTTAAGGTTAACAATTCACGGAGCGGTTTTCATCCGCGCCCGGCGGTGCTGCTAGATAGCGGTTTTATTTCAATACTTACGACCCTGCAAGTTTGTGCTGGCACGTAGCTGCCGCGGTTGCGGGCACGAAACCGTTGCGATTGCGGGACGGACCGCGAAGTTAGTGGGAGTTAATTGCAAGTCGCGCGGTTAATAGAGAACTTACCCCGCGTGCTCCTGCGCCGCATTGCGCCTGAACCGACCGCCAAAGTGTGCGGGCGACGACGGCCGCCAAGCGCGCAGCTCATCGCGTCCTGCGCGGTTCTGCTAGTGCCCCGCCGCGGCGACCGCGAGCAACTCACCTCTACAGGCGTAAAACGCGCCGTGAAATTACCGCGTCTGCCGCGCGGTTCCGCGGCAGACGCGGGTGTAAACCGCTCCGTGAGTTCTTAGTGTAACGAAAAATGAAATTAGTTTCAACGCCTTTTAGTTTCAAGTTTAATTTTGTTAAATTTTAATATTGTTTTACGTCGTTTTCACGTTTTAAGCCCCACCCAATCAAAATCTTTAAGTTATGGTAGTAGATAATAGAGCGTAAAGTTTGAATTGCACACAAGCTAAAAAGTGGCGACATCGGCACCCGATCTTACATAGCGTCATTACATATCCCCTTTTTTCTATATCTATGATTGGCACCTTTCGAAACGGTGATTTTAAAAACTTCGAGTTTATCCCTTGAGAAGGGTTTTCAAAATTGACTCGTACCTTTCTGTGTCAATTAGCTATGACGAGTGGGGATGGAAACGATTTCGCGAGTGTTTCTTGTGTCTCGTGTAGGCGCGTGTCACTGAAAAGATTTTGTCGGACACGCTTTGGTCACAATACGTACCTTTAATGCGAGCTGATACGAAAACCCCAGTTCCAAAGTATTAACAGCTACTCCCCGATTGCCAGAACTTAGAAGAGCGTAAGAAAGCGATCGCGGGCTACCAGGCGTACGACGACGAGGCGGAGCTGGAGGCGGCCGCTCTGGGCTCGCACAAGCCCGTGCTGGCCAAGTACGACGACGAGATCGACAAGCACAAGAAGGACAAGAGCAGGGGCTTCGTCATCGGAGACACCGAAGCCATCGAGGCCAAGCGAATTCGCGACATGATGGTACTACTTTCCGGCCTTCGCGTCGTGATTCGTGGTTCGTTAACGCCAACCGGCTGTCGTCCGGGACTCACCGTATCGATGTTGCAGCGGCAGGAGCGCCTGCAGGGCGGCGTCAACAAGCGGCTGGAGAGTCTGCGCACGCCCGACTTGCAGATCGCGCAGGAGTACCTCAACGAGCACGAGATCCGGGCTCAGTTCAAGAAGCCCAAGAGGAAGGTCAGTACTTCCACCTCACCTCCTGCACTTTTTCTTTTGCTCCTTTTTACTTTTGAGACCGTCTCGGTCGTGAACGTGTCTCTCTGTGCAGGGTAAGATGCGCAAGAAGCCGAAGGACGAGCCGATCGACGTGGACGCCTACGAGGCCGGCGGCGGGCCGCTGCTCACCGACGACACGGGTCAGTCTTCGCCGGCGGAAACGACTCCGGGTCGGTGCAGCACCGTTTACGCTTTCGTTTTCGTCCGGCGTTTCAGAGGTGAAGCCGGACGCGTTGAGGACGGAACTGGCGGTCGACGACGAGGAAGTGGAGCCGGACAGCGAGCTGCAGATCGCCCTGGCCCGCGCGCGACGCCTGCGGCAGGCCGAGCGGAGGGCCGCCTTCAGGGTTCCCAAGGTGGGGCGGGTGCCGGGCGCGGGCGGCGGCGCGCGGGCGACGTCTGACCCGCGATCGCCGCAGGTGGAGGAGCTCCTCGAGGCCGCGGCGGAGGCGCCGCCGCGCGAGGAGCCCGAGGGCGCCATGGTGCTGGACGCCACGGCCGAGTTCTGCCGCACGCTGGGGGACATCCCCACGTACGGCCTCGCCGGGAACCGCGAGCACCGCGCCGAGATCCTCGTACGTGCGGCGGGCGGGTGAGTGCGGCGGCCCGGCGGGGACCGACCGACCGACCGACGACTGTCGCAGGACGCGGAGCCGGAGGCGGGCGCGGCGGAGGCCGCGGAGGGCGCGGGGGACGCGGGCGACGCGGGCGCGGCGGGCGCCTGGAGCCGCGTGGACGTGCGCCGCGAGCGGCCGGCCGCGCCCGCCGCGTCGGCGGGGCTGGACGCCGAGCCGCGCCTGGGCGCCGGCGTGGCGGGCGCGCTGCAGCTGGCGCTGTCCAAGGGCTACCTGGAGCGCGCGGGCGCGGCGCCGGCCCCGCGCTCGGCGCACCTGCACCTGCTGGCCGCCAAGCACTACTCCATCGAGGACAAGACCTACGGCGAGGACGACAAGTACGGCCGGCGCGAGCGCGGCGGCCACTCGGGCCCGCTGCAGGACTTCCGCGAGAAGGCCAACTTCCGCCCCGACATCAAGCTGGAGTACGTGGACGACGACGGCCGCCCGCTCTGCCCCAAGGAGGCCTTCCGCTACCTCAGCCACAAGTTCCACGGCAAGGGGCCCGGCAAGAACAAGCAGGAGAAGCGCATCAAGAAGGCCGTGCAGGAGGGGGTACGTACGACCGCCGCCGTCTCGCCGTCGGCGCCGCGACGCCTCGGCTCGCGTTGACCGTGTCCTTGTGCGCAGCTCATGAAGAAGATGTCCTCGACCGACACGCCGCTGGGCACGCTGCAGATGCTGCAGGACAAGCAGCGCGAGACGCACTCGGCCTACATCGTGCTCTCGGGCCAGAAGCGCGACCACGCCGCCTGACCGCCTCGGCTTCGGCTCGGGGCGAAGTCGCGACTGTAACGTCTCCAATGAAGTTAGAATTAGCGGGAGAGCAATAGTTGCGTGCGATATATTGCCCGACATCCACACCTTTTAAAAACATATTTTTTCCTTTATATCGGTTAACTTTCGCTAGTGATCGATTTTTATCGATTAATAATTCGCATCGGTCCCTATGTACCACTTGCACGCCAGATTCCTCGGCGCACAAGTGTGTACTACACGCCAACTCTGCAAGCGATTATTTCATTTAAAATCGGGACTTATCGTGTATAAAACATTTTTTTTCGGACGTGTTGCAAATTTCAACGTCCCGTGATCTCGAAGGGACTGAAAAAGTCGCAGACATCGTGAGTGTTGTGTGTCGGTCTAGACCCTAGTGGCCAAATAAATAATGAAGAAATTGTTGACACCCGCCTCTTCCGTCGCTTCAAGATCGTGGACTTCCCAACACTCCGAGAGGTAGAGGTAAATTGTTTTATACACAATTATGTCCCGATTTTTCAATCGTATCTAATGAATCTGCAAATGATGGCTTGTACGCCAGGTTATTATACTAAACAATCTAGGATGACCCCTGAGGGCGCGTTCCCACTAGGTCGTCACGTTTTATTTTTTGGACGACTGTCGTGTTTAGCCTGTTCCCATATCACGACTATCTGTCGTTGCCGATTTTTTATCGTTGAACGACTGTCGTGACTAGCTGTTCCCACTAGATCGTGACGACAATTTATCGTTTCACGACAGCCTCCTTGTCGTTTGCACGACAGAATCGTTTGATGCACTGCAGCCGCTTGTATGTTCTTTTGGAAGCTGGTAGTGTGTGTTCGCTCGAAACGGATGAAGACGAAATTTTAATAATATATTACTTTTTAAAAATGCGAAAGAGGTAGCAAACAAAGAAAAAAAAGTTTTGGGTACATCCAATGCTACTAAATAGAATTGCTTTAGGGTTATGTCAAATAGAATACGAAGTTATTTTCTTTTCGGTATTGTCAAAACCTGCTGCGACCAGAGATGGGCAGTGGGTTAAAACCCAATCAACCCGCCCGTGTTTTCACCAGGGTTTTACCCTAAGCGCCGAGTTTTAACCCATTTCTGCCCAAAATCGTGGGCAGAAACGAAGAGTACAGAATTTGGTATAATTCTAACACTAACAACATAATATACAATAACTTGTAACAAATTTGTGTATTTTTATTGCACGAAGAAGTCATCTCCACATAATACCCACCACCTGTCAATCCTGTGGATTCTCAATGAAGATCGATTCAAGTGCATACGATCTAACGATTTTTTTGTATCAATTTATAGATGAACTTTTCAAGCGAATCTATATGATAATAAAGCAACAAATATTTTGTAATAATATGTATAATTAAATTTGAACAAAACTCAATTCACAACAAATATAATAGTTTTTGCCCTCGATTTCGGGTTTTAACTCGAATTAAACACAGAGTCTTTTGAGTCGCCGGGTTAAAATGGGCGCTTGCCCATCTCTGGCTACGACCCAAAGCTACTGCAAAGCGAGCAAAGGGCGCGGAGTAACGTCGTTGTAACGATAAAAAATCGTGAACGATAGTTAATCGTGTCGTGCTGTATGTGAACAACTTCATTTAAATATACAAGCCACGACACTGTAAACTGCACGACAATCTGTCGTCACGACATAGTGGGAACGCGCCCTGAGACTTGACGTTTATCATAGGGATGAGGTAAATTCGTTAGATTTTTAGTTTCATTGAATTGATTTTTGAAGCATAGGTTTTGTCTATATTTTTTATTGATCATTGTCGCGTCTGATTTGTTAGTTATTTGTTTCTTGACTTTGTTTTGTTACAAATGTAACAAAATAGCCAAAACAAAAAAAAGTTGTTACTGAAAAGACTCAAAAAGATTTTCCTCAACAGTCAAGTGTGGTAATTTGTAGCGCGTCTACGCGATTATATTGATCGCGAGAAGCAAAATAATGGACCCCTCCTGCCTCTTATCTTGTATAGATGTATGGAGTGTTTTATATTGCATTGAAGGCATTGACCTACCAATAAATGGACATCGGGTCCGCGCTAAAAAGTGCGCACCTGTAGGGCGTTAAATCGCGCAATAGTCTTCGTTTGTTCGAGTGACAGAGCGGTTGTCAATCATGCAGTACCAATATATACAGTATAAAGAATAGTTAAAATTACTGCAGTAAAGTGTGAAAACAGGATTTTGTATCATATTGTCAATAAACAAATATATTGTGTTATCATAGTTGTCATATAAAAGTGTTATTTTGTACAGTTTTATAGTATTTAATTTATATATAACTGAATCGAAAATATAAATTACAAAAACACACGAAATAATGAAATAGCTAACTGTCCTTTTTCTACTCATTGCATGCGCAAAAGATGGAAAGAGACCCATTACGTCAGTTTCAAGAAGCTTATATAAACTTCTTGGTCATTTTCAATTGTTCGAACCACAAGCGATTGAAATATTTAGAACAAAGAAACTGTAGAGTTGCTTTGATTTTAATCCTATTTTTAAAATGATTTTTTTATCAAACGTTAGCAATAACTAACAAAATATTGTTGTACTCGTTACGGCATGGGATTACCTATCAGAAGTCAGAAAATACGTTGCCTGAAATAACATTAGCTCGAATTTTCATAATGTGTTTTTACGAAGATTACAAAACAAAAGCTAATTTTGTCTATGTAAAAAGCATCAAAATTACTCGAAAGCGTAACGGTTTTGTTATAAATCGGAATTACGGATATTTGAGTTTACGTTTACTTAGAATATCGGTACATTTCTTATAGTACACGCTTATTTTCACATAATTTGTAGTAATAATTGTATGGAGGTATCTGCCCAACTGTTTATTATACCTTTAAGTGAATTTGTACAAAATTCGACATAATAATATATATAAAAAAAATTATTAATATTTACGAGAAAGGCTATTCCATTACTCTTTGTGTTCAAGTAATTTTCAGTCGAAGCTAAATATGGTGCATTTTGTTACGTTTCCAGTAGAAGCTGAATATGGTGTTTTTGGGCCCTTAAATTGTTGTAAGCAAATTTAGGCAGTACTGCAATGACGTTACAATTTAAATTAAATGTTTTAGTTTTTTATATTTCGTTACATGTCACTATTGTATAAGTTATACACGTTTGTATAAGTTAACCTCGGACATTTTTTTCGTGGTTTATTAGACCCGATGTCCATTTGTTGGTAGGTCAATGATTGAAGGCATAAAACACTCCACTAAATTCAAATGCCATTTCAATTGATATTTTAATAAATTTGATACTGTTTGTATGATATTAATGTTTTTAATCTACATTATTACTAGTTGCTAATAGGACAAACTGGTGTACGCACTATATATTTATTCATTAAATTATCGAAAACTTTTTAACGATATACCTCATCTCTAGCAAATCCAGTCTAAAGACTTAACCTTTGTACGTTGTCATAACAATAAAATAAATTAATTTAATAAAAATATTTGTTTCTCTGCTTATTTCTCACTAATTTATGTTACTTTTACTTTAATTTTATGCATTTCTTTAAAATTACACTTAAAAGCGAGGCATACATAAAATAAGTAAATTAGTGGATGTCGTTACAAGGTTATATAATGTAGAATTTTGTGAAGTGTCACAGGGATAATTGTCGGAAATTTGTAGTATAATGTATAGTCTGTTTTTTAAGGCTCAAATAGAATGTCTGTAATGTAATTGTTATCAACCATTTCATCGATAGAGAACAGTGAATGTTATGATGTTCTAACGATTTTGGCTCACGAGTATCGAAATTAATTCGTAAATTAACAAAAAAATATATATTTTGGGCTAATAACGGCTTTCATAAATTTATTTCTATAAATGTGAACCTGGATGGGGGTTGACACCTATTAGGACATTATAGACAATAATAATAATTTATATACCTGCAAAGTTCGCGTATTAATTGCGTGAGCGTAACCAATATTCAGTCGATAGTCGACAGAATATTTGTCTATCGACTGCAATCACTAACTGCTTGTAAGTGGGCAACACTTGCAGAATGAACTGTCATTTGACGTGTAACATTTTGTTTGCAATAAATAATTTTAGAAATACCTAAGTTTTTTATTTGTACAATGGAAGAGGCGAGTTTCAGCAACACGTTTTATTACTCTAAATAAACGTAGGAAGGGTCGACGGCGGTGGAGGGCCGGTCGGCTCACTTGGGCTCGGCGCTGGGGCGGCGCTCGGCCGAGGCTTCGGCGCGAGGCTTGAAGTGGTCCACGTGCGCAGACAGCGTCTTCTTGGCCGCCAGGGTGCTCTGCTTCAGCCGCGTCTCGCGGACCAGCTCGGGCGTGGGCGGCCGCCGGACCGGCACCGTGGACGCCATACGCAGGTGGCAGTACAGGGGAATCTGCGACAGCCGGGCCGATCGTCAGCGGCCGCGGCGGGCGTCGGCGGCGGCGCCGGGGCGTCGTACCGTGGGCAGCGAGTCGTCCAGCGCGATGCGGTCCTGGCGGTCGGGCCTGCGCGGCAGCTCGAAGTAGCGGCCCAGCAGCGGCTCGGGCGCCGCGTGGCCGTACGTCTTGGTGCGCAGCTCGTGCTCCGTGATGTCGCGCAGGTGGTCCACCTCCGGCTGCCCCGGGACGAAGCGGTCCACGTACCCGCCGCGCCACACCTGCGGGCCGCGCGGGGTCAGCGGCCGCGCCCGCCGCGGGGCGCGGCCGGACGCCCGCTCACCTTGAAGGTGGTGAACGAGGCCACCTTCTTCACGTCGGGCGGGAAGCGCGTCACGTCCAGCGTCCACGGCGCGACGATGCCGCCCAGCGTGTTGATGTACTCGCCCGTCAGCCGCCACACGCGCACCGAGTAGTCCGCGCTGCCGCTGCGGGAGAACCACTGACGGTCGACGCGCGCTCCGCGGCTCGATCCGGCCGGTCACCGAGAAGGGGCTCGCCTGAGCACGAGCTTGTGCTCGTCGATGAAGGCCACGCAGGTGACGCAGCGCATGTGGGCGCGGTAGGAGCTGAGCAGCAGCGGGCGCGCCTGGTCGCGCACCGAGCGCTTGGCGCGGCCCTCGACGCGGTCGCGCCACAGGAACGGGAACTCCAGCCGCAGCGCCGGCATGCACACGTGCACCTGCCGCAGCGCAGCCTTAGCCCCTTGGGCCCCCGGCCCTTGCGTCCGCGGGCCCCGGCCGTCCGAGCGTACCTCCTCGTTCCGGCAGTAATTCTTCATGAGCCACACTTTGATGTACCCCACGGTGGTGCCGGTGAACAGGTAGTCGTTGGCGGCATCCGTGGCCATGGCGGACACGTAGTCGCCCGCTGTGTGGATGCCTTGGAAGGAGTCGCGCAGTCCGCCCGCCGGATGGTCCGACCACGCCTGGATCTGTCCGTTCTCCAGGCCCACCAGCAGTGACGCTTTGATGCAAAACGAGATTAAAGGTGCTTTTCCGCCGGCGAGGCGAGACGAGACGAGACGAGGAATGAAATTTGTATGTCAAATTTCAAATCTCTCCTAGCCCGTCTTCGGTGGGTACGGTCAGGATTGACGAGGATGGGCGAGACGAGAATTGAAATATTTGTTAAGTAATATTGAATTCTATTGCTGCCTGCATAGAGTATTATTCTGCAATGAAAACACAATATTTGGCTCAAGCTCGCGACTGCTCTTAATATCAATTGTGGAGTACGTACAATTTGAGATAAAAAAAAAAGATAGTTTCATCTGATTCTTCTTTCGCTAACATATTTAATAATAATAACTTACGGAACGTGTTACTTCACCCACGTATTTGTCGCTAGATGAATTGAACATCACTCAATCTTCACTATCCACTGTCACAGCGTGAGGTCGCCCGAGATCGCGATGACAAACGCGAGATTTCTTTTGAGAGATTATTCTTGTCTCGTTTCGCCTCGACGGTGGAAAACCACCTTAAGTGTATCGATACGCGTGTGCTTTTAAATATACTGCCGAAATTAGAACTACCAAATTCACAGATTAATAGCATTAGTGTTGTCATTGGGAATTAATATAACTACGACGAAGGAGCAGCTTTGTCGAACCGAGAACGCAACATAGGATTTTAGAGTAAAATCGTTAGCACGGAATTCAATATAAATCCCGAGATTAAACTTCCACGGCGTTTCGGGCGCTCTGCTACACTGAAACGTGTGGCGGTCGTGAATCTGCCGTGCGTTTCAGTGTGAACGCTTCGCGTCTTGTGTGGTCGGAGCATTAAAGAGGCCTGTAAGCGCATCCGAAGACAAGTTAATCTTGAAAAATTTAAATGTTTTTGTTGCCTAAAGGCCCATTTAGATGGAGAGAGTTTCTCGTCTCGAAGATACGATTATCGAAAGAATATAAAAAAACTTTCCTCGTCTAAACATTTGCGATTATCGACCGTCCACGTGAGCGATAATCTCCTCGCCTTTCAATATAACGTCTCCGTGTAAACAGAACTCGAAAGCAAAAATCGTATTTCGAGTTTCTGTGCCAGCCGTTTCTACCACGAGTGCAGCGCGCGAGGGTGTTTTGATTATCACTGCTTTTCTAAGACAAGAATTAATGGAACAAGAGCGAAATAAAAATTTCAAATAACGGTGAGTGAGTGAGTGCCTCTGTGGTCGAATATAGCGTGGGCAATATAGTATTTAGGGTGCTCTCGTAACGAATATGGCACTCCTTTCTAAATCCAGGATGAAAAGTCGTGCCCGCACTTTTCAAATAATGGCAAGTTGGGTATCGTTTTTGAGGTATTTGGGGGTGCTCATTACGAACATAGCATTTATTTCTAAATCCAAGATGGCCGACACGACTTTTCAAGTAAATGTACTTTTCAATAAACACTCCTCACTAACTCCCCACTCACTCCCCACTCACTCACCCACTCACTCACAACTCACTCACTCACTAACCACTCACACACTCACTCAGCCACTCACTCACTCACTCACCACTCACTGACTCACTCACCACTCACTCACTCACCACTCACTGACTCACTCACCCCTCACTCACTCACTCATCACTCACTCACTCACTCACCACTCACTCACGCACGCACTCACTCAGTCACTCACGCACTCACTCGCCCTATAAATTTATCATAATTGTCAGTTTTGTTTGTGTCAGTAGTTATAAAATTAAAAAAAAAATGATAAATGAAAATTATATTTCTATACAGTGCAATGAACTTAATCAGCAGTTTCAAATTTGAATGGTTTTTGCATCATTTTGATATATCCATAGTCATACCGCAGTAATCACTGAACTCAATTCTCGCACTCAAAACGGTTCGAACCGATTTGTACGATAATCGTATGAACTTGAAAAAATGTCATACGAGATCGTGTTTAGACAAGTCGAAAACTCGTAAGCAAGAATCTCCTTACTACATATTTCTCCGTGTAAACAGTCGAGGAGGCGATTAAGTTGCTTACGAGTCTCGTATGACATAATCGTAGGCGAGATTTTAGTTCTTGCCTGAATGTAAACATTATGATACGATAATCTTATGGCGATTATTGCTTACGAGAATCGCCTACGAGTTTTCGTTTCGAAGCGTGCGAGAAACTCTCCCCATCTAAATGGGCCTTAATACAATATCTTCTTTGAAAATATAGTATAATAAGTATCCTATCTAATCTAACAAATCTAATTTGTACTATTTAGTAGGTACCTACGTTTAAAAAAGTGTAGGTACTTTCATCAGAACAAAGTCGTAGCAATGTTAAAGGTGAGGTAATATTTGGTACTGAAAGTCGCAATTGTGATGTAACTGACATATCTAATTATGTTATAATTATTAATACAAAATCGAACACACAGAAAAAATTACTTCGATCCAAAACCGAATACCAAGACACGACACAAGTACATAGAAAAATTCGTGAGGTCCGCTAGTTCGTTCCGTGGCTTAGTTGGTATAGCGTCTGGCACGGTAAGCTAGAAGACGTCGGTTCGAATACAGCCGGATCGAAGGAATTTTCTCTGTGTGTTCGATCTTTGTATTAATAATTATAATACCTCATCCTATGTCAATTAAAATCTACAACAAACTCCCAGAATATTTAAAAACCGAAACAAACATAAAAAAATTCATAAAAACGTTGAAAGAATTATTAATCTCTAAAAGTTATTACGAAGTGAACGAATATTTCCAAGATAAATTATAATTAATGTCTGCCCCTCTCCCTACCAACTTTGCGATGCCTGTCAAGGTTCATGTGTATGTAAATGTATAAGTATATTCTTAAGTATATTTCTAGGACGACAACACATGTAATGCACTTTTAAATAAATAAATAATAAACTAGTGGAGTAATTTCACAAAAAACAATTGAATATCAGTTCAATAAAAATTCAAAATATGTTAAAAGCTGCTAACTGCCCTTTTCCCACACATTACACGCGCAAAAGAAAGAACAAGATCAATTATGTCAATTACAGTTGTCGGGATTACCACACACAACACAAACGCAATATTTAGAACAAGGCGATGGGATTCTTTAGAGGCGCTTCGATGTTAAACTTTTAAAAGGTTTAAACATCGCGTAGACGGCGCGAGGTGGTTTCAAAAAGAATTTCGACCCAGTGCGTGAGGCGATCGTGACGCGCGGCGTGTCTCCGTAGAGCAACGAACCGCGCAAAGCGAGAGGTGGTACTGACCGACGTACATGTGGAAGGGGCGCGTCTCGAGGTAGATCATGCAGTGCACGGCCAGCTGGCGCATGTGCATGGCGCGCGACGGCACCTGCACGGAGGACACGCGCCGCGCGCGCGCCTTCTCCACGGCCGACGACTGGTCCACGGCGGCGTCGCGCCCGCCGCGGTCCACGCAGCTGCAGCAGGCGGGGCTCGACTCGGCTCGACTCGGCTCGGGCGCGGCCGGCGCGGCACTCACCTCGGGCGGCGCACGGACGAGCGGCGGCGCGCGTCGTGCGAGCCGCCGGCGCCCTGCCGCTGCTGCTGCTGCATGTCCCGCTTGCTGTAGTGCATCTTGATGCGCAGCGTGGGGTCGGTGCACGAGAAGCGGCGGTAGGGCTGCCCCGTCTCCAGCTTCCAGAAGATGAGCTCGGAGTTGTAGGAGGCCGTGGCCAAGGACAGCGGCGAGCGCACGGCCGCGGCCAGCACGTCGTCGGAGTGGCGCGTGTCCCAGGGCTTGCCCTTGCCCGTGCCGCTGGCCGCGCCCGTGACGCCGGCCTCGAACTCGGTGACGTGCCGGTCCCAGCCCACCGAGAAGATGCGGCCGGCGCCGCTCTCGCTGCCCTCCACCCAGAACACGCCCGTCACCTCCATGTTGTGCTCGATGCTCATGTTGCGCAGGCACTCGCCGTTGTTGAAGTTCCACATCTTGAGCGTGCCGTTGCGCGCGCCCGTCAGCAGCAGCTGGTCGTTGGGGTCGAAGCACGCCGCGGTGATCTCCACCGGGATCAGCTCGCCGTGCAGCATTCGGGTGTGCGCGTCGCGCACCATCATGTTGCGCTTGCCTTAACATGCGGCATGCGACTTAACATTGCGGCCTACGTCGCTTCGCCAGAAATCGTCCGAATCGAACTTTACCTGTGATAGGATCCCAGTTGAAAATTATGCTGTCCATTCCGCACGTGACGACCACCTTGAAAAGCGGATTGTACAGGATCTTCGAAACGGCGCGCGAGTGCGTGAAGCCGTCCGTGTGCTTGGGATTGAGCTGTTCGTTGAGCACAATGATAGCGATCTTGATAGCGCCCAGTATGAAGTCACGCGTCGCAGGGTTGTACACCGCTGTGATCGGAGTACGCTCGCCCACTTGCGACGGGATGTCGATGTACGTCTGCCATACGACACGTTGTGTAGTTTGTAGTGCAATTACTCAGATGGGTCGAAATACAGTCGTATTGGTTGACGACGGCACGCGTTACACGATGAAATACGTTTTCTTGTTAATAAATACATTTAAAAAAGATTAAAAAGTTATATTCATTGAGTTACCTGTATACAGACTTGTCCGGACACGTCCCAGACCTTGATGACGCGGTCACGTGACAGCGAATATAGTAGCTGTCCGGTGACGTTGCGCTGTAGCACCAGTGAGATGATGCCGGCATGGTGACCCATCAGCAACGCATTTGCCTTGGACGGTACGAATGGATTCCAAATTCGGATGTTGCAATCCGGCCCGCCCGTCACTAGCAGGTGCTGTTCCTCGTCGATCACGAAGCATTGTATTCCCTACACCATCGCTACTCAGTCAAGCAGTTTTCATAGCTTTAATGGAAGTGAATTATTAGCGGTTAAGAATGAACAGTACACCTTTAAAGATGTGACCGAACATACGTAATTTTTTTCGTCATAAGCAATAATCTTAGTTGTACCTTATCGCAGCGAAACATGTTATGAGTCTTGGAGCCCTGAATGTCGCACATGAGCAGCGAGTCGACTGAGGTGGAACAGGAAACGATGCAATGCAGCGACGCGTAGAAATAAACCTGCCGCACCCACTCGTTGTGCACGCGGATGAACTCCACCAGCTGCATCGACGGCAGAAGCCGCGGCTGCACGTGCCGACTTATGCTTAAGTTTCTTATAATCTGCTTATAATTTGACCCTTTCATGGATTGGTCGGCTCGAAAATAGAAAATTGTTGATCCATGAATTATCTATAGCCTTAGGGTCAAGCACAATCTTGTCCTATCCAGCCACAGCCATATATCTAGATATATGTTTGTGTATCCTGCTGTATCTACGTTTTCTTTTCATTTATATATTCATACGTATGTATAAAAAGTAAGTGTCGGGTACCCTTTTTTGCAAATCGACGTGGCGTAATTGAGTTAGCGCTCGCGACGCCTGACTTTGGAAGGGCCCGCGCATGACGGGAGAGAAAAGCAGCACGCGGACGTTGCCGCCCACATCACCGCAGATCACCATGCAACGCTCGCTCTCATCCTTGTGGAAGTAGTAGTACAGCGAACAGATCTAATACAACAACAGTCGCCTTTCAAACGGGGCGATTTCTTCCACGTTCTCCAATCATATTTTTTTCGGTCACTTTTTTTGTTACTTGTAAAACTGTAAGAAGTTTATCGCCGGCCGCATATTGCAGAGTAAGGGCTTAATAGGGTGAAGGCTATAAGCAATACCTACACAGAATTAAGAGTAGAAGGCTAAATGAGAGTAACTAAAGCGCAGGCCACACCGCGAACGAAGCTAAGTTCATGTAGTCGGGGCATCTATTCGTACTTCGGCTCACACCGCAAACTAAGCTATCAGAGCTAACTAAACCAATACAACGATCGCGCTAAAAAAGCTATGTCAAATACCTATGTCGCCATTCACCATCCCGGCATCACGTATCCATAATGTAGCACAGCCTTTTCCAAAGTGGGCGATAACGCCCCCTCGTAGCCGCTGCAGGCTTAAAGAATAAGAGACCCAGAAAAAAAATGGGGGCGTTGTGTAGAGGCTTAGGGGGAGATTTGTAATTTCATCTAGGAAGACTCTTAGGGTCGTATTCTAGAACTCTACACAATGCTGAAGTCAGGATTGCAATTGAAACACAAGCACTGGAAATACGACCCTAACAGCAGGGACTTGAGTATGATTTCTAGTGCTTTAAACCATACCCAAATCCTGGCTTGAGCATTGAGTAGAGTTCTAGAATACTACCCTTAGACACCGACCGAGCTCTCGACTCTCGACTACAACTTGTGAACCTCAACTAATATTAATTAAGAGATTGCTCAAACTAACTCGGTTCGATATTTCTCTCCGTGTTCATATAATATCTGTCCTGTTTTATTGAATAAATAAAATAAAGATCATGTCAATCGGTCGCTCCTTTTCGAAATGAAAGTAGACACAAACAAACAAATGAAAAGGCAACAGACACCGTTTCGCGTTTTAATAGTTATTAGTATTCCAAGATAGGTAATTTTCGTAGATAATAAACCGCGGGCAATCATGTTTTAACAAGTTTTTGTTAAATAACCCGATTTGTGCATTCCTGTATCAATCGGCTGGTTAATAGAATACTTGTTCTTACTTGTTGAGTACGATTGAGCGTCGAATGAGATAAACGAGTTTATGCATGTTTGTCGTATTCCTGTCATGTCGGTGCGTACTGCGTACTACTTATGCAATCCTATATAAACAACGTAATATTTATTTTATTTTCATTTGCGGTTTCGCGCGTAATAGATAAGCAGTACTTAAGCTCAACACTTACTTACGTATTTCTCAAAACAAAACAATGTCGGAAGTAAAAAAGAAGAGACGGCAATACTGTGCGGAATATATTAAATTCGGATTCATTGAACAGCCCACAAACCCGTCGTCGCCTTTGTGCCTTCTATGTCTAAAAATATTTTCGAATGAAGCAATGAAGCCTTCAAGATTGCAAGATCATTTGAATAAAATGCATCCAGATAAGAAAGACAAGAATGTAGCATATGTTCAAGACCTAGAGAAGAAGCATAATACTCAGCCAAGTGTAGCAAAACTCTTATCGGCGGCTGCTAAGCAAGATGACGACGGATTTCGAGCTTCGTACAATATCTCTTTGTTAATTGCTCAAAAAGGCAAACCACACAACATCGGAGAAGAGTTAATTTTGCCAACAATAAAGGAAGTAATTAATACTGTGTTTCATAAACCGGCCGCAGATATTATCCGAAAAATTCCTTTAAGTAATAATTCTGTGCAAAAACGTATTGATGAAATGGTTGAAAACATTGAAGAATCATTGTGCAATCATCTGAGGACTAGTCAATTCTCAATTCAGCTCGATGAGTCCACTTTACCAACGAATGAAGCATTGTTACTGTCTTACGTGAGGTTTATTAAAGATGAGAAAATATGTGAAGAACTATTGTTTGCTAGAAATTTGGAGACCGATACAAAAGGCGACACCATATTCAATACATTATGATAGAGTTCTTGGAAACTAAACATACAGAATAGCGCAACAAGCTCATTACATCAAAGAATGATATATTACATGACAGACCTGTATAAATTGTTCAACGACATGAATCTCCAACTGCAAGACGATGAACTAAATTTAATTAAAACAAAAAATGTCGTTGCTGCTTTCGCAGCTAAACTGCTTCTACACAAAAAGAATATGGGCAGACGTGAGTTTCATAATTTTCCGAATTTATCAGTATCCTGCAGCAACGACGACTTGTTTGCCTACTGCCAACATTTGGAAAACCTCCACATTGACTTCACCGAACGATACCGACATTTTGAACTTGGAAATACCAGACTGGGTGTTGGATCCGTTTTCAAATGTCAACACAGCAATATCACCTCAGCTGGAAGAAGAACTTATAGAATTGACAACGCACGAGAAAATAAAAATCTAGTTCAAAAATGGCTACCAAGAATTTTGGCTACAAAAATTGATCCCGCAATTGTACCCTGGATTGTAGTCAATCGTTCAACGATTCTTGATAGCATTCCCATCGTTATATTTGTCTAAACGTAGTTTTGGTGCTGCTTACTAAAAAGAGTAATCGTTTGCAAGAACGTGGTGACTTGCGGCTGTTATTGGGTAAATTGGAACCTGATGTCAACAAACTTATTAAACAGCATCAAATTCATCCTTCACATTAGTTTTTTATATTAGAATCGATTATGTTTGTTTTATTTTGAATAAAAGATACTTTGTCTGAATACTATAAAGTTGCGTTTCAATAATCGTTCTCATTGGCAAGTGTAGCCCGTAAGAGTTAACTTGAGACCTGACCGCCGTTGTGTACTACCTACTGCGCTCAGGTCTCAAGTTAACTCTTGCGGGTTATAGTAAAAGTCTCGTTTAGAATGAATGTTTAATCTCTGCTAATATAGCTCACAATAATTTACTAAATTTGAAGTTATAGTTGTTTTTAAGCAGGTGAAAAAATGGGGGTGCTAAAAAATTTATTCTCAAACTGGGCAGTAGACAAAATAAGTTTGGGAACCCCTGGTGTAGCACGTTACTACTTAGGGATTACGTATTTTCTTAAATTAGCTTTGCATACGTGAGGTAAGGTAAGTTGGCTCATTGACTTGGCTTGGCTTTGTTCGCGTTGTGGCCTACGCTTAAGAAAAAATGAGATCAAAACGCATGTAAGTAGGTCACCATGTACTCCCAGCTAGTAATGATGATTTTGAGTGTGAAGGTGTTAGCGGTGCAGTCATAGAAGCGCAAGTCGCGCTCTGTTGAGCTGGTGCATATGATGTTCACGTCCGGCATGCAGACCATATCCGTCACCCACGTCGTGCGCACCTTCAGCTGGGCTGCCGAACAACGATTACTAACCAACTACTTAAACAGTACCTTCTACTCTCAACAAAATTATGTAACGGTATTAAATATTGAGGTGATGGGTGCCAACCACCAATCGCACCCATTGCCTGAGACGACCTATCGGCACGCTGATAACTATTGCTATCGATCATTTTGAAAGACCATCAGCAAGTAATGTGGTCTTCAAAAAAAAACAACATCTGAAATTGTGCTGAATTGTTGTTAATCGTTATCGATTTAGACGTTCTCGAGTGTTCAATGACAAATAATCAAGTTGATTCAACTGATATGGGATCATTGACCTACCAGCAAAGTAGGTAGGTCAATGTGTGGGATTCAAATTTTGATTGTAAGCTTTTATTTGAGTCTAATTCTTAACAGAAAAACTCTGATTTTAACCATTATAGTAGGCACGTACAGTCAACAGCACATCAAACTATTCACTTTTGTTCGAATATCGCCTCTAGTGCAATACGGAACAAGATCCGTCAATGTTTAGCTTGTGTGTGTCGTCCGTACCTAGAAGAGGCATTAAGCAAACGACTAACGGCTAGAAGAAAAGGCGTAGCGTAGCGGCGTCATGGTGAGCGTCCACCATCGGATCATACCGTCGCGGCTGGCCGTCATGTAGTTTCCCAGCATCATGTCCACTGTGCGGTCCTGCGCATCACATCACTCTTGTTACAATATAAATAAATAGTAATAATAATAACGCACACACTCAACATAGCCGCGCACTAGGGAAACCCTGTGTCGCGGGTGTCATGGACACACACGTAGACAACCACAAATTACACCCAAACTCACGAGAGAAATAAATGTAAGCCATACAAACATTTCTCCCGGCCCGGGAATCAAACCTGGGACCGTTCGGCCACGGAGGCAGTTAAATAGCTCGCATGTTCAATACCTTTACCACGTGTTATTTATGTGCGGATGAGAAGCAGCAGTTTTGAAAAAAATCTTACATAAACTATATTATACTATCGATTCAATTACTATAGTTCAATTCCTAACCTGCCTTGTTTAAAAAAATCTCGTGTTACTAATCAGCAACTACTTTACAATAAAATTAACCTTGGCAATATCGGGGCAGAAGCAGACCCGGGAAATGGGATGGCGGTGCATGGAGCGGATGACCTTGGGCAGACCCAAGATGGGCGGTTCGAGCGACTCGCGCTGGTTCTCGGGATCGTTGGCGATAAAGCCCAGCTGCAGATGCGATACCAGCTCGTCCCAAGTGATCGCGCCGTCGCGATTCGTGTTTATCTGAATTGCGATGTCATTTTGCGATCACCAGCGGCTAAAACTCAATTGGCGGCTAGAGATCTTGTAAGTAGTGGTATTTTTAATTGCAACTCGGCTATAGCATTGTAAGTTTACTTATGTTAGCGTTATAGTAGAGTGCTTTAAGTACAAGTGAGCGTTTTGATTAAGCTAATAAGTTTAATAATAAATTAAAGTGAGGATACAGGTCAAGAGTCTCATGCTCAGCTTGACACTTAAGCCGTAAAATCAACTCTATGATGCTTGAGATAAGAACGGTCCAAAGTTTAAAGTGTCAAGCTTGATGTGCTCTTAAGTGTTGTAACCTTCATAAATAGAATTTTGAACTCTTCTTCGTCGTACTCCACATTGAACAAGTTACGTAAAAGTCCGCGGAACTCATCAGGGAAGAGTTTGCCTTGATAAGCTTCAGTGAAGCATTCGTGCAGTTTGGCCATGTCCACCATGGTGCAGCGTTCGTGCAGCGGCGGATTAAGGTATCGCACACGCGTGTGCGAAACGCTCACGTCCGACCGCGACGACAGGGACATCAGCGACCTGATCTCACTTCCACCACCTAATCTTGACATCTTGATTATAAAAGTACACTCGGTAAATAATAAAAATCTATCCTCTACGGGAAATGTTTAGCTATAAACAATCATAAATGTCAATTTTGATGTGTTATTTGAAAACTCCGCGAGAGTTTATTTCTTGTATAGATTACGGAAATAATGATATTTTTAAACCTTCCTCCTTACGAAAACGATGAAAAAGATGAAGAAAAATGTTAATCAATTTTTTACAATAGTAACATTTTCCTTATCAAAATATTTACATGTACTTGTTCCTTTATTTTTCTTTCCATCCTCTAGATCAAAAATCGATGGGGCCTTAACATTTTAAAAGGAGAAGAAGAGAAGATAGATCATTAGCGGGAAATAAAGAGTAGTAGTAAACTTCCTCTTGGTTAATTTTTCTACTTTTTGCTTTGATCAGTATGATCGAAGACTTTTTGTGAGTTTGGCGGGATCGGAATGTTTGTATTGTGTAATTTATGGTATACCTACATTACATTTTTCACTTTATATAAGTTTTGTAACGCGGTCGATGAGTCCCCTGACCATGAAGGCACATGAGTGCCTTGCATGTAACATTCTGAATGTAACGTGTATATGCAAATAAATAAATAAATAAATAAATAAATAAATATATTCCTAAGCCTAAGAGGCGAGTAAATACGGAAAATAGGCATAAGCACTGGAGTGTTGAACTTTGGTCAGGTTTGAGCGTGTTTTCTTTCGGGGATTCCTGTGAGGAATCAAGGACTGTTAGCAGTCGCACCTAGAGTTTTATATTTTTACTATACGAGTACTCAACTTCTATTCCTACAAAGTTGTGGTTTTGGAAAATGAGGCTCAGTAAGTTGGTGAAGGTATACCAATTCGCATGTGGAGCATAATGTGCTTTCCGACTTACATAAAATCTATCGACGAGTTATAACAGGTGACCTATTAAATATTCACTTAACTGTGCTGGTACGATCAAGACGTGTTATAATTCAGTGGCGGATTTGCAGTCTTGACCGCCCTAGGCCCAAACCATCTAGTCGGTACCAGCCGCCCCTTTCTCAGCACTCATCATGTACTGGTAGACTACATAATGAATTTACTTTATTACCAACTTTAATGTTTTTAATAATTTTAATATTTTTCTAGAACATTGATTTGATATATCTCTGTTAGTTTACGGGGCGCAGGCCAGTAAAGCGCCATGATTTTTTCCGACGTCTTCAACATTTCGATAAATGTAAATTGCCAACTGCCTCAATGGCCGAACGGTTACCATGTCTGACTGCCACGCAGAGGTCCCAGGTTCGATTCCCGGGCCGGGAGAAATATTTGTATGACCTACATTTATTTCTCTCGTGAGTTTGGGTGTAATTTGTGGTTGTCTATGTGTGTGTCCATGGCACCCGCGACACAGGGTTTCCCTAGTGCGGGGCTATTCAGGTTCGCCCCGCGACACTGGCGCTTGCGATGTTGTATAATATGATTTAGTAAAGTTACTTCTACGTAATTATCTTCATCTATGTTATTTCCCCTGAGTAACTGAAAAAAATACAGATCGATTGATTTTATAATATGACATCAGCCACCGAAAACGAGGCAGTATGGATTGTTACTCTAGTCTGTCCCTTCTGATCGAAAAAAAAGGACAACACAACAACATAACCTCACTGACAAGTAGAAAAATAAGAGAAAAAAATTTGCTTTATTTTACCGTATATTTGTCATATTTATGCAAAATGCATTTAACTATAAAATTACTCACGAATAAGCATCCAACATTTATCGCACGCACCGTGTTCGTGAAGAACAATAATGTTGATGACGCCTGCAGGCTGGTGAACAGGATCCTCGGCAAGGAAGGCATCCTCGAGCAGTATCGACTCACGCGGTACTACGAGAAGCCCTTTCAGGTAACAAAGGAACATATAGCTTCTATCTCTTAGTTGGCATGTAATTGTGTAGGTATCTACTTACTAGTTAACGCACCTCTCATGGAAGAAAAACATACCTTTTTATTTTTCATATCGTTCAAAATTAATGAAACATCGCTATTTAAACTCGTACCTCTATGTAAGATACTTCGTAGCGGTCAGGTGAGGAAATATTAGATTTATTGTTAGAAAAGAGATTGCAGGGACACCCCTGCTGCTGCAAGCTGCCTTTTATACATTTTTTGAAATCTTAAAACGGTCATCTGTCTCCAAATTCTCTTGTGTCAACCAGCTAGTTTAATAAACTTAAATTGCCAATTTGCTGTCTTTTTGTGGTTTACATTCATCTTCGACTGTTATAACAACATTTATTAACCAATTCCCATAAATATAAAGGAAATATTATACTCATGCAACTGCAAAATTTTTATATTATTTTCTATAATAAATTTAGATTGTTAAATGTCTATAAATCTAAGAGTTGTTCGATAATAACAAAAAGTTGATGGAACTGGGTAGAGGCACGGGATTGTGTAAGATTCTGGAAGAGATGAACAATCAAATATATGGCAATTTATAAACATGTGATTCAAATAGCCAACTTTGCTGCACTTACACAAATCATTAATGATATACTTACTATAGGAAATGAAACTATTTTTCTGGATTTAAATAGCATATATTTTTTTTTCAAACAAACCCCAGGTCCTTGCAAAAGAAGTCCGTTATTTACCCTGGATGCTGCGAGCGGACATTAAAATTAAAAAACATCCTAATTTCAACAGGGAAGATGGTTTCTCTGTACCACCAGTTTGGGATCCAGTATTTCCTCTAATGAAAAATCCCAAACCGACATAAGACTGCAGTACTAATTAATATGTTTTAATTTATTCTAATTTCTATTGTTAATTAATAATAAATTGAACTTAATAAAAATTCATTCAATAAAATAATGTGTATAACTTAATGTAGCGTAAATTGGAATGTTTTCTTTGTAAAATTAAAAATAAGGTATTTAATTAATAACTAACAATAGTTAATAACTATTGTGGTAGACCCTGTCAAAGGCTTTAGAAATGTCCAAAGACACTGCAAGTGCTTCGCCTTGCTTTTCTATAGCCTCGCTCCATATGTGACAGGCATACATAAGATCCCCAGTAGATCGCCCTCGTCGGAATCCGTACTGGCGATTACTGAGGAGGTCGTTGTCTTCAAGGTTTTTCTTCCATAGTCTTGCAGTGTATGGAAGTGACCGAGATTGGTCTATAGTTGACAGGGTCAGCTCTGCTTCCCTTTTTCGGCACTGGGTGCACGTTTACAAGCTTCCACGACGTGGAAACTACACCAGTGTCAAGTGAAAGGCAGTACAGGCGTGTGAGAACAGGAGACAACTCAGGCCCGCTAGCTTTATTCACGTCTAAATATCGCACCGTTTTTGGCAGTTTAGGAATTTGCACTTCTTGGCGGCCTTATTCAAATTAGCTTTCTTCAAATTTTGAGTACTCGGAGCTTTGCGTAGTCGAGCTTCTGCCCAAGCTTGGTACGCGGACTGTTCACCTGCTTCAGCACAACTACAATCAGCGTTAAACCATGGACGAGCTTGGGATCCATTGGGTACATCAGAGTGTGGTATGTAACACTACATACCCAAACGCAAAACTTCGACTACAGCATCAGCACAGCTCGACGAGTCTCCTGAAGTAAAACACGCCTGCCCTGCCCCGTCATAGCCCTGATGACGCAAAGAAATGGCGCATTTCGTCCCAATCTGCTAACTTGTATCGCCACACCCGTCTCATACGTCTAGGTCCCCCAGAATGACTAGTTGCGCTGCTGGGTACCTGAGTTGAGCCTCATCAAACGTCTCGCTCAGACATTGGAACAGCTTGGTTGTCTCCTGATCTTCACTATGCGAGCGGTAGACACAGCAGTACACTATTTGTGTAACTCCTGTGCAACCAGAAGCCATAAAACAGAAAAACTCGGTGCCTCAAAGTTCTTGAGACGCTTGACACAGATGTCATCGCGAACGTACACACTGACTCCGGCACGAGGTACGAACCTGTGCTCCAGAGTATACCCGGGGTAGCTGAGGTACGCTGCGTCCGTCGGACATCTGATCTGCGTCTCTATGAGGAACAGCAGCTGCGGTTTGTCGGTTTCAAGGTGGTAGTGGACCGAATCGAGATTTGAGTGCAGACCTCGGATGTTACTGAGGTGCACTTTTAGTGGGAAGACGTGGAACCGCTGTGTAAAGTTTTTTCCTTTCTTCTGACTTGTCATGTTGTTTTGAGAAGTGAATAGGCAGGAGGAAGGCAGTTTGATCCCACGACACCGACTCAACCGGCGAGAGGGAAACCCGGGGGATTTTAGTGGGGTAGGCCCTCCAGTCTGGAGGGAGAGTCCCCACATAACCTTTAAGTCTCCCTGAGCTCAGGGGTATCCACAAAGATTTCCCCCGTCAAAAAAAACAAAAGGAGGAAGGCAGTTGAACGAGGCACTGCGTCGTGTTCAACCAAGCAGCATGCTCACACTGCCACTCCTCCGTTCTCCCTTCTGGTCGCCATCCGGCAAGGTGGAGCATTCCGGGATTTTTCGGCAGCCTTTCACGGGTGGCTTTCCTGCTACTTGGGCCCCCAACTTCACACGGTCTGCCAGCGGTGCACTGTGCTTCGGAACCCGCTAGCCTCCAGAACCGAATGCTCAGTGTGGCAGTACAAGCAGCTACAACTCGTCGTCTGACGCAATGCAACTGTTCAGACTCAACCTCCTAATGGCAACTCCCGAAAACGGTAAGAACTATTTGGCGACTTGACTACGTCGGGCGGGTGGTGACTAGCCACGGCCGAAGCCTACCACCAGTAGTTGTCGTTTTTTATCACCACCCAGGGGTCATTTGTAGGGTCTCGAGGGTAAGCCTACGAAAGCGAGCAACGCCAACCCTTAAAAATTTTAATAACAAGGTGATCCACAAGTTTAAAAAAATCTGTATAGTACACGTAGGATAGGGGAAAAAATAATTGCTCATGATCCTCTCAGGTGAACCAGTCAGGTGGGCAACAGGCACAAAGGGCAGTTTTCCATGAGGGGTGTGATTTTGTAAAAATTGTTCTAAGTGTGCCAAATATGAATAAATAAATAAATTGTCCGTAGGTCAAGATATTTTACAATAATGGTTTTTGCAGACACGACGTCGTATTAACCACGAGAGGTGCAAAGCAATCTACAATGAAGACATGGAGAGGAAAATCCAATTTGTGCTCCGAAAAAACAGGCATGAACCCTTTCCAGGCTGCCACTGAAATAGCTTTATTTATACAACACAGACACTAACACTGTCTTAATTTAGCTTTTATTTATTAATTTAAATAAACACATCCTGTACAAATTTAATCAATTTCGTTTTATTAATATTTTGTTCACTTACACTTATATATACTTAATGTAGCAAAATATGTATAAAATATAAAGTATTGTCACAGTAAAATAAAGTTTAGTCTTTGAGTGAGAAAGCCAAAACTAAAGCGACTAGAGAAACACTTTGGCACGCGAAAGACGCGTGTGGCGGCGGCGGCGGCGGCGGCGGCGGCGCGGGCCGACGCGCGCGGTGTCACGTATAGGACAGGCAACCGTCTCGCCGCCGCACATAGAAGTGGTAACGGTAGCAGCGATGACATGTCTTAATGCCGCAGCGGTAGCTCAAACCTCCTTGTGGTTTGCCCTTGCAGTACTTCAGTCCACAGGGATACCAGTTTACACATACCTGTGGATTAGGTGATACTCTTTTAGGTACATTTTATAAAAAAATATACTGTCGTATAGCACTTACATTGCATGAACACACACAACTATATAACCTTTAATTTATTCATATTCATTTATTCATTGCATCACTTGTTTAATGTAAAAGTTGTTAAAATAATGTAAAATACAGTGCAGGAAAAATCAATTTCAAGAATGAAATTTATAATTAATTAAAATTAAAATTTAATTAATCTAAAATGCATAAAAACTTTTAAATGCAATACCAAATTACTTTGATTTAAACTTCCACGATTTTCACAGATTTTTTTATTTCATTCGGGACTTAATGATGTATAAAACATATTTTAATTACCCCTCGACGTTACGGACGGATTGCAACATCCATGGGTCGTTTTCAGATAACCTCAGAAATGATGTCCCTTTCAATATCTTTTATATTATTACTTCAATGCTAAGCATTATTTATTTAATATGATTGCTTGTTCACTTAGTCTGTGTTAAAAAAGTAAAAGACTACTTTACTACGCCACAGTAAGAGAAAATTTAAAAAGTGGGTAATTTTTCATTCATAAGAGCCGGTTCCACATCTCCCTACTTTTAAGAAATGAAGAAAAAATTCAACACTAGTGGAAATTGCAATATTTCCCATCGAGGATAAACTCTAATAACTTTCACGTCGAATACATACCGTAACTTTCCAATTTATTATAAACAAATAATATGTTTACTTGGGAATACAAAATGCGTGTAAATTTTTGTTATCAAATTCAAAATAATCTTTATTTCATAGGTAAGCATTATTACACTTGAAATCGTCACAATGGTTAAACTATACCGCTCATTCGTAAGGCAGATTCCCCTGAGAAGAATGAGCAAGAAACTCTAGGGGTTGCTCTTTGTAAATAACATTTACAATATTTTTTTTTATTTGAAACATCAGAGATCGAGACTACCTCCATGAGCTAAACGGGTTACTAACACGGATTTTTGTCATCCAAGTACGCAGAAGTTGTATAATAACCTTTAGTATAAAGTTTTTGTTTCACTATAGTTTCAAACCTCGTGAAAGGCAAATTTTGTATATCAACCGGAATCTTGTTATAGAAGCGTATACATTGCCCCTTAAATGAATTTGTGACTTTGTGAAGACGACTATCAAGAAAAGCTAGTTTATTTCTATTCCTCGTATTAATGTTATGTCTGTCACTATTTTTCATAAAGAAATTACTATTCCTTTTAACATAAATTACATTTTCATAAATGTTCTGTGAGGCCAGTGTAAGAATGTTAATTTCCTTAAACTTATCTCTCAAAGATACTTTGGGGCCCAGATTGTAAATTGCCCTAACTGCACGTTTCTGCAGGACAAAGATTCTATTGATATCATATCATTAGTGTTATTTCAACTAAATAACAAAAGTCTTAATAACGAAAGTTCATACCGCATCACCTTCACCCTTGGTACACGTGAGAAGGGGCTCCTGTCGGATTAGGTTGTGGAGTGATGTAACCTGTGCTGTGCATCTCCGTTTTAGCAAAAGATCGACATAAATACCAATTTCGGTGCTAGTGACTAAATCGTTCTAATTCTTGTAAAGCAATTTATCTAAATAAGTGTTATGTAATAGTCTTATAAACTTTATTGTGCATCAATTAGACAAAGCTAACTTTAATAAAAAGCATATAAAATTTATAACGGTCCAGAATATTCTACGACCTTGACAACTAAAAATGTATCCAAATATCATTCTTGTTGCTCTCATTCTTGTCTACTTTTAAATGAAATAGTTACTTTAAGAAATGAAACTACTTTTCCGGGTTTAAATCGCGTATATTTGTTTTTTCAAACAAACCGACGTTTCGGGCCCTTTACAGGTCCCATGGTCACGGTTGTAAAGAGCCCGAAACGTCGGTTTGTTTGAAAAAACAAATATACGCGATTTGAATCCGGAAAAACAGTTTCATTCCCTATGTGTAACAATCGCGAAAACCTAAGAACTCGATAGTTACCTACTTTAAGCCAAACATTTACTTTAAATATAACAATTAGATGGTGATAATGGTGGTGATGACGATGGTGGTAATGGTGATGATGACGATTAATGTGGTGATGGTGATGAATCATCATGTATATTGATGTACAATAAAGTTTATATAACATACATACAAAATACATATATACAAAATACTTATTTAGATTTATTTATTACATATAAATAGATAGATGGCCTTGCACGGATGAGAAGGATTTTGATACAAGAAGTGATATTAAAATGTTCTTTCGTGTTGGTAGTAGGTCAATGTTTGTGAACAATAAAATGTGTGTTGTAATAATAATTTTTATGACTGTGCAGTCTTTCTCATTTATGTTTATGAGAAAATCGTTTGTGTTACCGCAATCTCATTTGTGTGACCTTAAAATAGCCATTGATTGTTTAATTTTTTTTCTTCATTTCTGAAAATTAGGGCGACTTGTACCGGCTCCCATGAATGAGAAATTACCCATTTTTTAAATTTTCTTTATTACTGTGGCGTAGTTGAGTAGTCTTTTTAATCGTAACACAGACTAAGTAAGCAAGCAATCATATTAAATAAAAATAATGCTTAGCATTCATGTAATATTATAAAAGTTATTGAAAGAAACACATTTTTTGAGGTTATCTGAAAACGACCTACACCTGTTGCATAAAATCTGCCCTACCTCTACATGACATTGACATTCCTTGGCGGCGTCTGTCTCAGCTACGCAAGCGCGGATGCCGGGCGCTCCCTCCGCTTCATCCAACGCCAGAGCGTGCGCTGGGAATGGCGTCACCGATGACGAGTATGACGATTGCTCGAGGCCTGGAGTATAATTATAAGAAAGTTTTGAAATGAGTTGAACAAAAATAATCAAGTTGTGATTCTTTAACACCTAAAGCATTGTAGGCTTCACAGTCCAAAGCATAAAATGGCAAGCTTGCCATTTTGTACTTTGGACCGTTCTTATCGTAAGCGGCATAGAGTTAGATTTAAGTCCTAAGTGTAAAGATTGACGTGCTCTTGACCCTGTACATATATCGACACCAGAAATATCAAGTAATGTAAGGGATAAACAATGGTTTTTTTCAGGAGAGCCAAACAACGATTTTATTTTTTTAAATCTGTCTATGGCTTTTTACCGTCTGCTTCAATTTTGATTGTGTGTAGAGCAAAATTTTTTAGAATTTCCTCTTCTTTCATGCTATAAACGAAAGATTTAGGAATGCCCAGTGGTTTAAAATATAGCATGTCCCTTACATTAAAAAAAGATGTTTAGTTGCTGCTTTAGTTACCATGCATATAAAAACTGCGATATAACCTTTTGTTGTTTTCACGTCTACGTGGCCCGTGAAATCGACGCCGGTGTGATAAAATGGGCGGCACGCTGTTGTTCGTGCTGCAGGTAAGTCTCCCATGATTTGATCTTGTTTTGTTGGTTTATTTTTCTTACAGGTGAAACACGTATGCAGACGTTTTTTGACTGCTCGATTACCCCCGATGATCCAGTATTTACGCCTGAGATGTGCTAATGTCAGTCGCACACCGGCATGTAACGTAACTTTATGTGCTTCATTGATTAAAAGTTCTGTTAGACGACTGTCGTGGGGTATTATTGTGGGATATTTCATATCCTCGCTAATGTGTGCGTTTCGTAACCTTCCACCTACGCGAAGGACTCCTTGCTTGTCCATGACAGGATTTAAACTCAAAATCTTATTTTTTGAGTCCAATTTGCTTCCTTCTCTTAGATTGCTTATTTCTGCTGTGAATGCTTCTTGCTGTATTTGCTTTATAATGCTTTGCTTTACTTTTTCTTATTCTTGCACTGTTAGGTATGTTGTCGGCTTCACAAAACGGCTTCCATCGATTTTGGTCGCCCTGTATCCAGCCTAAAACTGCCGTGGAATCCGTCCAGCCAAACACACGTGCTTTGTATTTGCCGTGACACTGCAGTACTTTGCTCATTAGTCTTGATAATAATTCTGCTCCACATAACTCTAATCGAGGTAGAGTATGTTTCTTCCTTTCAGAAACGACACGTGATTTGGCCACTACTAATACAACCTTTGATTGGTCTGTATTATTTATTTTGCAATATATGACGCATCCGTACGCTTTGATCGACGCGTCACAATAGCCGTGTAACTCGACACTAGTAGTTAGACTCGTGCCGAGCCACCGCGGAACTTTGATATTGTTTATGTTTATGATAATATCTGCTCTTATCTTGATCCACTCGGCGAGAATAGGTTGTTGAAGTTCATCATCCCATTGTAATGTTGTTTTCTTCTTCAAATTACTTGCTTGCTTCCTGAAGAGGTCGTCGGTTTAACCGTTAGTACCGTGATCTTGATTGTTGCGGTTCAAATTAGGATTACGAAACCCGCTGCTGCCGGGCCCCTCTTCATCATCTTCTTCGTATTCATCCGACGAGTGACTGCTTGAATCTTCTATCTCTTTCTGTTTTTTCTCCACTTCGTAGCTACTGATCAACAACTTCGTCGATAAAAAATATTGATGTACACTTGCATAAAATTCGGTGCTACAACACGGATCGGTTTTTGTTTCACTTGCTTGTAACTTGATATGATTTTGTTCAAATACATCCCAAAGGGCACAAATTGACTTTAAGCGCTTTGGAATGTACTTCGGCTTGCTTTTTCTTTCAGCGCCGTCCTTGCTGAAATTGATGTTGATTTTCTTGATTTGCGTATAAATTTCCTATTGTCTGTTGATGAGAGACTCCATGATAAGGGTTTTTTGATTATTCGCTTATTTGATATTGATAAATAGATTGATATTGATGTCTGCTTGATGATATGCTTGCCGAAGATGATAATAGATTTGCTTGTTGATATATGATAATAACGATGATAAGTATGCTGGTTCCTTCTCTGCTTAGCGCCACGTGGCCAGTGTGCAGCTATTGCGCCGTCTCAATCTGCCCGGTGAGACCCGCTTGTGGGTGGCCGGACAGACCGATCGCACTGTACACTAAAACACGCGACACTTTAACTTGACAACACGACTTCGAATGAACTAAAAACGGTCCAAAGGTCGCTCGAAGGACCAGGACCAGGATGTACGGTGTATCCGTAATCTTATAAAATGATAGTTTGATAATTGATAAGTAGATTTATTGCTTGATTACTGATAATGATACATTTTGATAGATTGATGATTGAAATGAGTACACAGATTGCTGATCGTGAAGTGATTTAAATTACAACAATGTGGCGTACGTGCTGATGGAGCGCTTTGTCGGTCATAGACCGTACAGTCCCTTACGTTAATTGATACTTCTGGTATCGATATATATAGTTATTTATTTTTTATTTATTTTATTTATTTATTTATTTCAGGCAACTAGGACCCATAGATACATACCTTACAGACTAACATACATATGTATAATATAACGATAATATAATAAAACAATAACAGAAATATTAAATAAATACCTTAAATACAATATAACATGATAATATACATATAACACTATTTATTTACACGTATGTACTTCGACGTGTGACGCAACGTCCGGACCGGACACCCGTCCGGTAGCCGTCCTCGGAAACGCCGGTACATGACACCCTTCGGCCAAAAGTCTTCTCTCATGAAGGTCGACAGGTGTTGAGTTGGTACTCGCACCACAAATGAATTAAAATTCACATTGTGGCGCGACTCCAACCGCTCGACCCTCAGGTTTGCGTTGGCCTTCACTCGCATGTACTCCACAATATCCGCAGACTTGGTGGAGTAATGAAGACGTGACACGTATAACAACGTCGTCGGTACCGCTGGACGCAATAAATGATTCGGGCCAGTCAGGGCGGTGCCACCAAGGTTTCGGCTGGTGTTCTTCTTTTTCTTTTCCACATTCCGAAAGCCGTCCTCGTCGCACTGATCAACTCGTCTCGGTGGTACTGACGACGCAGCTCCAGTATTGTAGGTGTGTTACCCACTCGCACAGTGAACATATTGTTGGAGGATTTAGGAAATAGAACTCTGTTATTTTGATATTACCTTCACCATTTAGTGGGTGCATTTTTTCACCTCTGCTTTAGCAGATATCCTTACCTGGGCGGGGCGCCCAGCGCACGAGATCGGCAGCGCGCAAAAAGACGCGGTCGCGCGCAGCGGCGCAATGTCTCGCAGCCGCCGGCGACAGCAGCCGCGTCGCGCGTCCGGCCCACGCCGTCGATGTCGTCTGGCGCCAGCCTTTGTCTTCTTCTGCCACCCGCACAGTGCCCGGGTTTTTCTAAGAATTATTATTTTGAGCCATGGCAAAGAGAATCGCAATGTTCATAGTGGGTGTGTTTGTGCTGTGCCAGTAGATTTCAGGTAAAACCACTGGCAAAATAGTGTTGCTATTTTGGAAAATCATTCAGCTTTTTATTATGGTTATATGAATTGTGGTAAAGCTGAAAAGCCTATTGTTAATGACTTTCATTTATAAGCCACGAGAATGAGTTGTTAATTACATAATGGTACAAAAGTGCATTTCTTAACCGACTTCAAAAAAGGAGGAAATTCTCAATTTGACTGGTTTTTTTTACGTTTTTTGTGTGTATGTATGTATGTTATAACTCTAAAAATTTGTGAACTGATTTAGATGTTTCTTTTTTTCGTTGGAAAGGATGGCAAACTAGAGGATGAATCTGGATTCGCACACTTTCTGGTAGCCGATTGCAATAAAACTTAGTAAACAGATGTAATTCCACGAATTTTTGAGGTCAGTTTTTTTAGTACTCTGTACTGAGATTATTATTTGCAAATGTTTCAAGAGACCTGTCTGAGTTTGGCCATGGCATCAGGCGCGATGAAGTCGGCCTGTGCAGCATGTGTAAGGAAGCACAACGTCTGGTGGCCCATCTGGTTTAGCTCCTCTTCTCCTGGTATGACCACTCGCATTGCTTCCACTTCCTAAACATAATTAAGTTTATAACACATTTATTCACATATACCTTGTTAAGATTTATTCAAAATTTTATTTATTCAAAATGAGATTTATTCAAAGTGTCACTGTCAACTGCCATAAGAAGCAAAAGTGATCTTGAAGTAAAATTAATATTGTGCTAAATCAGTGACAGTGAGATCTTAAAACAAGTTAAAAATGTAGACAAACCTTCAAAAACTGTGTGAAGATGAAGAGTCTGACTTACAGACAGCTCTAGAACTGTAGCTCTCGACAGACAGCTCTAGAGCTGTTTGAAAGTCCTGTGCTAGCACAGGACTTTCAAATGTGTTTGCCTCTTAAGCCTGCTTCTCCAAGAGAAATTACGCAACAAATAAGACCATTACATCCAAAAAAGGTCCCTGGATTTGATCTTATCGCTCCGAAAATATTAAAAAATCTCCCAAGGAAGTGCATTACATTTTTAACCTGCTTGTTCATGCCATTCTCAGGACCAGTCACTTTCTATCCATATGGAAGATTTCCCAGGCAGTAATGATCCACAAACCAGGAAAACCTGAACAAGAGGCTTCCTAATACCAGCCCATAAGTCTAACACCTGTGCTGTCTAAGCTCTGGGAAAAGATATTCCTCATCAGACTCAAACCGCTTATGGATGACTGCTGTGTTGTGCCATATCACCAGTTTGGATTCCGTAAGTCTCACACAACTATTGAGCAGGTTCATCGGGTATACCACACGATCTGACAGAGCTTTGAACACAAAAAATATTGTTCTGCGGCCTTCCTCGACATGCAGCAAGCCTTTGATTGGGTATGGCACAAGGGATTGTTGGCCAAGGTTAAAGACAGACTTCCACACTCGATGTTTCTTCTCATAGAGTCCTACCTGTCGGGTTGTTCCTTCCAAGTTAAACAGAGAGAAGCGAGATCAAACATGTACAATATTCTGGGAGGCATACCACAGGGCTCAGTCCTCGGCCCGGTTCTGTATAACATCTTTACATTGGACTTACCAATATCAGATAACATTTGCTACATAAGCCGATGATATAGCCCTTTTGTCCGTTGATGGGAATCCTGTTAAAGCTAGTACAAATCTCCAACTCCAACTAGATCTTACCCATGGATGGTTCTGTAAAAGGGCGTATCCAGGCCAGAGCCACCAAATCTCATCATATCACATTTGCACTGAGAAAAGGAAACTGTAATCCAGTAAGACTTGGTAATGAAACATTGCCACATTCTGATTGTGTGAAGTATCTTGGTTTTCACTTGGACAGACATCTCACATGGAAGCATCACATAAAACGAAAAAGAGATGAAGTCAATCTCAAATATTGTGACCTTCATTGGCTCATGGGAAGAAATTCAGCATTATCAGTAGACAACAAACTTCTAATCTACAACTCGGTCTTAAAATCCATTTACACATATGGTATTCAGCTGTGAGGTGTGGCTAGCAAGAGTAATAAACTTTATCTCCAATGAGTGCAGAATTGTATCCTGAGAGCAATAGTCAATGCCCCTTGGTTTACTCGTAATGAAGAGATCCATGATCATATAAACGTAATATTGGTAGCTGCTGAGATCGACTGACGTAAAACTAAGCACAAAGAACGACTATCCTGCCACGCGAACCCACTCATAGTGGAACTTCTAGATCCATCAACTATAGTCAACGGCTTAAGCGATGCCATGTTCTATAGTTGGGAGGTGCGGCACTGGCCGTTCCACCAAAAACGCCTTCTCTCGTTCAAAAGATTCGCTCTTGGCCTGGTGGTTGATTGCAAATAAAATAATAATACAAAAAAAAATTTTAATATAATTTTCTAAAGAGCCCTCCATCTCATCATTACCGAGCTCTCTGAGATCAAATGTTGCAGATAGTAAGGGGTTGTGGACAGTCACAATCACAATGTTATTAGGCACAGTTTTAGGAGATATAGAATAAAGTACACTTACATTGGTGAAATCAACAAGCTGTGAGACGTGCACGCCGTCGAGGCGCAGGAACTCAAGGGTGATGGTGTCCTCAGACACGTTCGCGGTTATGTTCTCCTGCATAACATCGCCACCCTACACAACACGATAAAACCTATACTGAACTAATCGTAAGTCACAGATCGTGTACCGTAACATTTCTTTACATGAAATTGCATTGACTGATTAATATATTTGTATTATATTTTTTAGATTAACGTACAGGAGCTTGTAGACTAAATAAAAAACGAATTTTTCTAAACATGTTTGTGTTATTAGTACCTACGAAATTTTTGTTTATACCTGATTCTTGACATTAATGAGGAGCTGTAAGTTCGTAGGGCGTGGCAGAACATAAAATAATACAATTTTAATAACTAAATGATTCATTTTTTGGCTAAAAATCGAATAAAATCAAGTTTATATGCCAAATAAAACATTTCCTTAATTTCACTCACATTTCACTTCACTATGACCACAGATTATGATTTCGCTAATTGACTTTATCAATGATATTTGCGAAGACATTAGTCACTTTCACTAAGGAATGGAAACAAAAAAAATAGGACCGTTCGTTCACACATAAATAGGGAATGTCAAATTGTAAGTCAATGATGTCAAACGATATGAATACAATTTAAGAAATTGCTTTCAGATTTATCTATTTAAATAGCTTAGCTGCTTTAAAGGTGCAACATGCGCTCACCGCCTACATCAAAAACTCAAGTTTGTACAGTAGCTTTAGTTCAGTAATACTTGCATAATAAAATATACATATATGGTTGCTTTTTATTAATCATCCAAATAATATTGCTGCCTTTACACAATAACTGCAGAATAGCATACAGCGGCGAGTATAATACCCTTTGTCACAAAAACTCCAAAAAAATTTCTAAACAATTCTTATGTGTAAGAGCGGCTATTTTTATAAATTTAAAAAGGCGACTTTTAGCAGCGATACATTGCATTGCGACACTTGCGGTATAGATGCAGTTATATTGGATCATTAAAACCGTGCATCGCCATTGTATTGCTGCTTAAAAGTGGCGTGAGTGTGGCTCCGAATTGGACGACAGACAGCGGGCGGAGCGATTGCGATAGAGATGCGGGCGGCGGTTTGCGCGTCTTGATCAAAATGCCTAAGTTTGTCTATGTGGCGTGGGCGGCGGTGCACGAGCGTCACGCTCCACCCATCCAGTCGAGCGGTGAATATGCGTTCGTATAGTAGTAGTGTTGTCGTGCCGAGTGGGTTAGGTAAGCAACGTGAGGTAGTCTCTGGGTTTGCTCAAGAGTTAATTTCGTTACTATTTACGTTACAAGAAATTCCCTAGTTTGAGGATAATGGTTGAGCTATAAAAACAAAATTAATTTATAATAGAAAACTAAGTAAACAAAAAAAACAATTATTCTTTTTTTTTTTTCCTTCGTACTGCATGGAAAAGGCGAAGGTCTTTATTTTTTTGCACCTCTAAGCGAAGGTCAGATGTTTTTGACAACAACCCTTATAAATGCTATTAAAGTCGTTCCATTACACGTAGGATGTGATGGTATTTATAAAGATTGATTGTTGTATTCATACTTTTGTCGTTTATTAGGCGATTAAAGTAGTTGAGTACATTAATTAGAAGTATTTAAATAAATTTACTTTATTTAAAAGGAAGGCAACAATTTAAATTAATTATTTAAAATTTTGTTAACTTTGTTCGACAGTTTGTTGTTGTCAGACATATTATTTCATAAAACGTAAAAATATTCCGTGATCGAAGATTGAGGCTGCAGAACGGGTTTGTCTCATTATCATTACATTTTTCATTGTTTCCATAAGAAATTCGAATTAATACAAATTCCAAGTGTCTCATCTTCCTGCTGCTGCACTATTTCCATGACACGATAATTTTATTTTGAGGTCATTCGTTTCGACACGAATTCTTCCGAACGAGGCACGAACGTCACCCGAAACGAAAAGAAGGGCGATGTTGCACATTGCGAAGGAAGACAGCTGTCGTATCGTTTTCAGCTGATTTTTGTGTACGAGTATACAACCAGTGATTGAAGCAATTTGCGAGGCAGCGAGCAAGTTCGGGTGCTCCGAGATAAGATCGCGCATCATACGCTGGGAAGGGTCCACGAGTGGGAACGCGAGCTTGGCGACGGGCGAGAACAAAGGGAGATGGTTCTGTGAGCGGAGCGGTGGTGGTGAGCCGTGACGTCACTCGGACGCGGACGCTCGGGCTCGGCCGATGAGGCGGGCGCGCTGAGCTCGCGGCGCGGACGGCGAGGCTCGCGGGCCAGCCTGGCCTCCACTGACTCGGGGGACGAGGGCGCAGGCCATCGGCCGCCGCGCAAACGCACCCGCAGGCTGTCGCCGCCGCAGCCGCAGCCCGCCGCGGCCGCCATGCATCAGCCGCCGCAGCCCAACGGCGCGCCGCCGCTGCACCTCAACGGCGATGCGGCGCGCAACGGCGAGCTGCCCTCCGGCCTGCGCATGACCCAAACGGACCAGGAGATCGTGCGCCTCATAGGACAGCACTTGCTCTCGGTCGGTCTCGAGTAAGTATCTCTCACATCTAATATGTCATATGGCAGAACATTCCGGAACCTGCTTTTCTGAACAATTCAATAAATTAGGCAACTCATCACTGTTATCGTAGCTATTCTGTCATGTGACTATTATTTCTTTACTGAACTTTGTTGCCGTTCAGTATTGAACGGCATCAAACTTCATGTTACTGTACTCGCTGCACATTACTATCTGGCTATGAATTGAACTGGTATTTGATTTAACTAAGCTACTTAAACACACCAAAATTAGGGAATAAAATATATAACAAAAACTATAAATTTCAACGCTGTGATGTAGACACAACTATCAGCAAGAGCTGCCTGTCTATAAATAAATAAAACATTGATTGCTGTATAGATGGTGACCCCAATAAACTTACCAGAAACTATTTCACCATTTGCAATTCCTGGCTCCTTGACTATATGGTTAAGGATAGAGTGCAAGCTGTGTGACTTGGATAAAGCACCTTGCCTGTTAGATAACAAAAAGCAGAAATGACCATACAACAACAAAGAGCATGATTCACAAGGAATATATGCTGAGACAAGTACTTAAAAGAAGTTATTCATATTCCATAGTTTTATTTGAATTTGTTAACCTTAATTTTTTTATGTTTGAGCATAAATGCCACAATTATTGAGTTCTTAGGCTTTAGCCATTGTTACTCATAGGAATGAAGGTTGTTTTTTCAAAAAAGGTTTGTTTGAAAAAACAAAAATATGCAATTTAGATCCGAAAAATAGTTTTATTTCCTATAATTGCCACACTTGGTAGCCGGTGGCGATAACAGTTTGGGTGCAGTTAATGTGTTTTTATCATTATATGCAAAACAATAAGTGCAAATTGTTACAAATAACAAATCATAGTTGAAAATAATGTGTAAGAAGTGATGATTACAGGGGTGTGTCCAGTAATGGATTTCTTTTGACTGAAATGGTGATGATGGTCATGAAGTGACAATTAACAGCTTACTTGTAGCAATTTCCTTGTCGAGTTCATCTTGGGCAGAGCTTGGCCTAGTGCAGTGTTTGTAACTTGCCACTGCAATATATGTTTTGCTGTTGTTTGACAGTTTTTATTTAAATCGCATCAGCAAACATCTGACATACTCTCCAAAGAAAAGATGTTTAAGTAACAAAAAGAAATATTTTATTAGAACAAATTAGTATCAAATAAGTATATAATACAAATAATAAAGCAGGACAGAATTTGGTTAATTTATTTAAAGTCTTAATATTGTTCGATTGTTGATCTGCAAATGCGTCTTATTATCTATCAAAGATTATAATGTAGGTACTTGTTTACATCCCACCTCTGTGGTTTTCATGACTTTGTGACCATTTTTGTTTAGAAATGATGAAAAAATGTACACATGACTTACAATTTTATTTGATAGTCCATGAGCAAATATTATATCCATGAGTGATATCACTGCAATTAAATAATAGTAATAATAAGTATATAGGCATTCTCATACGACATTTACAAGAGTACAATGAAAGTAAGAGTAACTGATGAACTTACTATGTCCTCTATCACAGGGGTAGCAGTACATAGTCTGGCTGTTAAAGTAAGGGGTCGAAGGCGGCAGGGCGTTGACCCCGCGGTGCACAAAGTGTCGACGTCGTCATATATGAATTGTATATCTTACTGTTTTTCAAAGCATAAAAGTTTCTTGCTTGTGCATTATTCAATCCATTGAAATTCATATTATTTGTTGAATGTTTACAAAAAATTTAGTGTTTTTTTAATTTCTACAAGTTTTGTAGGTACTCAAGTAGGTAAATAGGAAAACACAAGTCATTCGCGCGGGTCTGTCGCATTAGATAAGTGTCCGTTATCTATCAGCGATGTGTTTACTATTGATACGTACTTATTACTAGTGAAAATTAAAAGTTAAGTTAAATATATTAAGGTCTTGGTTGCTTTATTAGTATTTCTAATGGGAAAGACCTAAAGCAGTAAGGATTTGTCTATACAGTTGACGCGAGTACACTTGCTAAGGCTTGTGCCTGAAGCTAGAAATTGTAAAGCAATTTTTTCATTGAAGCAACTTAACTGTAATTATGATGTACAAGTTTTGATCAATTTGGTTAATATTACGTACACCGCGACCCGGGTTGATAACCTACTTACGAACTGTGACACTGCTGAGTACAGGTTAAGTGGAATGTCAGTATAGGGACTGTCGTCGTTGCCAACCGTAAAAGGCGTAGGTGGTACGTCGATTTATCGAAACATGTTTTTGAAATGAAGTCATCTGCAAAGAAGCTACGTTTACTCAGTAGCGATAAGACGGTCGACGTCCGAGCAGTGATGCACGACGTCAATCGCTCAAGCGGCGGGCCCCGTCCGCAGGCGCAGCGCCTCGGCGGTGATGGAGGAGTCCGGGCTGCACCTGGAGCACCCCGCGGCGGCGCAGTTCCGCGCGCACGTGCTGGCCGGCGACTGGTCCAAGGCCGACCACGACCTGCGCGCGCTGCACGAGCTGCTGCGCGACTCGGCCGCCGTGGCGCCGCGCGACCTGGCCGAGATGAAGTTCGTGGTGCTGGAGCAGAAGTACCTGGAGCACCTGGAGGCGGGGCGCGTGCTGGACGCGCTGCACGTGCTGCGCAACGAGCTGACGCCGCTGCAGCACGACACGCCGCGCGTGCACCGCCTGTCGGCGCTGATGATGTGCGCCGAGCCGCACGAGCTGCAGACGCGCGCGCGCTGGCCAGGCGCGGGCCCGCTGAGCCGCCAGCTGGTGCTGCAGCGCGTGCAGGCCGTGCTGCCGCCGGCGCTGATGATGGCGCCGGGCCGGCTGCGCGCGCTGCTGGCGCAGGCCGCGGCGCAGCAGGCGGCGCGCTGC